CAGGGATCGTCGCGTTTGTGGGCTCGAAAGTTGACTTGACGCGAGCGAAAGGACCTTTAGCACACTACATCAAGGTCAATAAAGAACGAGATAACACGAATAAGCGGATTATACACACATTATCAGGTAGACGAACGACCGTGTTATTGGCACCGTTCTCGTATACGTGGTTGCAGAGCGCGACTTGCGCTGGTGTACCGTCGCAGACCATGAGAAGACTGTGCTCGCCGTCTGCCCATTGAGGATTGCATTGCCAGACCTTCCAGCCAGCAGCTTGTGTGATATCTATCAGAGAAATGTTCGTAAGCCAAAATTACGACCTAGACTGAGGAGACGAACCAGAAAGAATTTGACGAGAGCCATCCTGCACGAAAGAATCGTCAGCGAAATAGCGTCAGTTAGAGCATCCATGTAACTCACCACAGCAAAGGACGAAGACGCCGTGTTATCATCTCCCGAATTCCAGTCGTACGAACACTTTCCATCCGTACATGGGACACTCCAGTCGTTCAGGGCCTTGACGCGTAAAGAAAGGGCGACAGCGATCAATGTAGGTAATGCCAGCATTATCTTGATTGTTAATTAGTGAATTATTCGTAAGATAGGTTAAATGGGAGTGTAAGGAAGCTGAAAACGGCGACTTGCGCTCGTTGAAAGATGGGTCGAAAGCGAAAGGGAAAACCAACGAATATGAGACATACCGCTGCATTATATACCACCACCCTCGCTCGACAGCGACTACACTAGTGCTGACATCGGATCGCATCTTTGATGATGGCGGTGTACAATGTCTTGGGTGACAACGAAAGATTGAATTGGCAGTGTAAGATTGTCGAGATTCAAGAGTTCCTGTTCAATTCTGCTATTAACTGGTAAGAAAGCAGACATAAGCCGAGCAGAAGAGACTTACGGTGATTAGTTGGAGATTATACATTGTCATATATACGTTCGTATAGACATATTAAGCTCCGTCTTGTGGTCTTGAACAGCAATTGGATATCTGATACCTGGATGGGTAAGAGCAGGGTCGATTAAAAGGCACATCAACATCAACTTGCGGCCGCGCTAGCCTCAAGACCTTCAGCGATCTTTTTGCGGTCGGTGATTGGCTCCGCTTTATGGTGTCCCGGAGTGGCTAGCTCCATTGCCGAGCTAATCCCGATGTCACAGTCATCACGCCTGCCGAAAATATAATCTTAAGATATCTTAGGATGATTCCACAGCTCAAAGGCTCTCCTGGAAGACTGCTTGTATGGTGAAATCTAGGCTCATTTCCCTGGGGATTGCTACGTAAGTTATATAAAGTAAAATGATACACGATAGTCTAGAATGGACACGGCGTATGGACACTCCTGCCTTTCAATTGCACCGCTCTCTAACACCGACTTCGACCTCGGCTTTAACACACTAAGTACAGAGATTATAGGATAATCCTCCTTTTCTTCTCTCACCCCAATAAGATTTTTAAAGTAAACCGTAAACCAACACAGTAAGCAACAGCCACACAATATGCAGGAAGCATGAAATGTCGACAACATTATTAAAGTCTTGTGGTATAGTTAGTGTAGCATTAGCTTTTCATGGGACGTGAGGCTCCAAGTTCAAATCTCTGTTGTGTCAGTTTTGTATTGTCAACACTCGCTGTTTGTTATGATGTTATTTTCTTATGTGGTCGTTTGACCGAAGGATCTGTGTTTATAAAAAGCAATGTAGAATTATTATTTATTGAAAAAAAGCAAGCATTAGGTTGTAGTACATCTTTTGAAACTTCCGCTGCATTGTTCTGTTCAGGATAGACATTGATAAGTTTGAAAAATTCGCAATATTTGTTGCAACGATGTTTGAGGCAGAATTCGTTAAGCCGAAGGGAATATTTCCGCGAGCAAATAGGTCGTCACCAAGGTCGCTACAAGAAGGAGAAAATTCTAAGCAAAAGATTTAGAATAGGAATGGGTGAACTTACGGGGAGGTCATTACTTGGGGATCAGTGAGCAATGATCTTCCTCCTTTTGAGGTATCCAACATGAGCGTGCATTGCCAGTGAGAATTAAACTAATACAACACGCACCTTGAAAATCACTGATAAATGCAAGTCTACCCGTCTTTTCCCATTGGACATGCTGTGAGAAACAAAGGAATTCCGCACTTCCTTCCATCACAATCACCCTTAGTGAGGAGACTGCGGAAGGACTGTAGAGGTCTGGGCCGAAGAAGAGGATCGTATTTTTGCTTCCTTTACAGATGATGAGGCGGAGGATGAAGAAATTGGTAACGATGATTAGCGCTATAGTTTTTTACAAGTATTTCTCACGTCAAGTCCAATATTCATGTCCTTACACCTCTGAAGTAACCTTTTAGTCAATAAAATATTCTTGCCGTTACCATAATAATCCATATACCTTTCCTAAGTGCAGAACAGGCTGCTACTTTACTTGGAATTTTGTGGATGAAGATTTATATGCGCAGTATCTGAAGTATCCCAGATTATCCCTCGGCGTCGAGGTGTGACATCAGGATATCTCGGCAATGTGGAAAATAGAGCTGGCCACTCCGGGACACCATACCGCTTAATCATCACCGAGGCTCGCCTACTTTTTCAGCTCAACCTATTTTGCCTGATATCAGCTAGACAGCTTGGGCCATGTCGGGCATATGGTCCAAGTGTGAAGAATAGAGGTGCGAATAGCTGACCAAAGGAGAAATAGCTGACCGGATGAGGGCACGACGACTAGGTAAGAGCGAAAACTGCGTGAGGATTAAGCGCCGGAGCTCGGCTGTACGTACTGTAGTTACATGATCTACTGTACTCGAGCCGTACCTAAACCTACAAATCCTGACACCAAGGATATGTAGGTAGTGCCAAGACAATGTCATCGTGACCCTTTAATCATCAGGCAGGCCGATCGATCCAATGTGATCGACAACATTCAGGGAAATGGGACTTAGACGTCGTACTTTCCGTTCCGCCAGCAACAAAGGCATGTCAGATAAGCCTATGGGTCTATTCTGCGACTATTGGCTATCCCTCGGCTGAGCGAGCTACCTGTTGGTCTTGTTGGTAAGAGCCTGTGACTCCCGGGGTGGTCTTGGACAGAGTCCGGTGGCGCTGTGGGCAGTTGGCCGTCTGTTATTGAGAATAGCTGCTTAAAAGGTCCGTATTATCGTTATTAACATCGAGATTATGCGAAAAGCTGAAAACATCGCACTTTTCAGGCCGCCGCGAGATGGAGACAAGACCCAGTATATTAACCAGCAAGTATAAGTAATATTGATTGGGCACGCCCATTGTGTTATGTAAAGTGAGAGTTTCTCACCTTCAAGACCCTAATCAAATGTTAACTAAACATGGATTCAGGCTCCAGCAAACTTTGAGTCTTCGACCATATGGGGAAGGGTTGTCATGTTTGCCGAAGAGGAATCAGTTTCAAAGGAAGTATATTACAGATATATATTGTATTCTACGCTCCTCACAGCATGTTTCTTAATAGCAAATATATGGTTATTTGTAGAAATGTTTTCAAACATGATTTCCAGATTTGGTTGTGCGATTGTGGATTATTCAGCGAGTTGGAAAAATTCGCAGAGACGCCCAAACCCTCTGAAATCCTCCAACCTGGACATCTAATATTGACCGGCCAGGCAACGTCTGCAGATCACCTATGTAACTTAGTTGGAAATCAGACGGAAATTACATCGAAATTCAGGACGCCCCAGAAAGGTTGATTTCAGATTGTAAGGGTTCGGCTGTGTAAACCTCGCAGAAGGAAGACCAAGACCAAGGTCATATTGGGTTTCACGTCAAACGGATCACCTGTCAAAGCCTCCAATCGCAGAGGTTCGGCTTGCCCACCTCTGGCTTCTGCTGCTTCTTCATCCAAGGCCAGCCGACATTCTCAAAATAAACTCCCGCCGCAGCGTTGGAACTCCGCCTCGATCCCCTCGGGGTTTTATACCCTGGCGGCGGGACTATCACGTGCATTCTCTCTGAGCCTTATTTCCAGCCTCGAATTTTATTTCGAGGGCACGGGCCACTCAAACTCTACATAGTCTGTTGAATCCGGGCACTTTCCCGGGTTTGCCACGGATATACCGGTCCACTCCTATTTTTACACACACCCAACCTCTGTGATAATGCATTGGTGTTCCCCACAAGGTCCTGTGAATCTAAATTTATCGTAATAGGATATCCGATAAATTGTATCGAACTTAAGTAGTTGAGAGGCTATCCTCTCGGCTTTAGGATTTTCTCTGAACGGATACAATGGTTGGGAAGGGCCGGGCTTCAACACGATTTTAAGGAGCTTCGTAGTAGAATAACACCAACAATCTCTAACTTGGTTGAGTTCTGCTCTTTGCTGTAAAATACCTCGCACGATAATTAACGACTTAGGATTCTAATTCTCGACACTCGTTGTTACTAAGTATAAAGCATTCGAAGCTGTGGTTTCTTAGTGAATCTGAAGATTTCGTTTCTATATCTCAACCTTAGTTCATCTAAGGTAAAAGGACAAAAATTCCTAGCCCCACGCGGGGGTCGAACCCACAACCTTGAGATTAAGAGTCTCACGCTCTACCGATTGAGCTAGCAAGGCGACAATAATTTTATCAAATATACTATTGTCGTCAACGCAGCCACTCATAAGATTTCTTTAACATCCATCGAGCACTCACAAGCAATGGAACTGCGACGAAAGAACGATTAGAAGTTTGCTAGGAATGTTATTATACCTGGTGCTTTCTATTAATCAATCATATAGTGTAGCGTACTCCCGTACACCTGTAGTGTGGTCATCCTTACCAATTACAAAAGACGAACGAACGGCTTACACAGCCTAGAACGATCAATTAAGTTCAATAATAGCCTTAGTAACATTCCTAAGTAGCAGAAGGTATGATATGCATGGCTAGACTTATTTGGACTGGGATAATGGCGTCCTAAGTTAACAATATGTTATCCCCTGATGTCGGGACTAAGGATACGTTGAAAGGTACTGTTACTCATCAACTTGGCGCAGTGGAAGTGTGCAGGGCTCATAACCCTGGTGTCTCAGGATCTAGACTTGGAGTTGCTACTTTTTCTCAGAGGGTTTTTGTGGCTTTCGAAAATATATGTTTTATAAATGCGTATGTGGACTTCCAGTACTATTAAATTTATTCTTTTTACTTCGGACATTCTAAGTGAACACTAATAAATAGATTGGGAATCTTTGGATATGTACAAATAGGTCGAGAACATACTCTAGTTACATTGAGTACAAATAAATAAATCATAATAAAATTATTATTATTGACAAAAATATCACCATTAAATACCGATCAAAACCTCTCCCTACATTGCAACGGGAACAGCCTATAAAAATATGATCAATAACTCGCTCAAACGCTGAGATTAAAAACCAACTCACAGCAGATTGAGGCCTCTTCAGCTCTGTCCTCATAAATGCACATACGTCTGCAGACGTCATTATTTCGAATGTGGGTTGCAGGGATGGGTTGACAGAATTTCTCAATTTCGTCATAACATAATTTGCCCGCCTCACAACGTCCTCCGGTACATCCGGCCTACCCTCCTGCGCACATGCCTGAAGGAATCCCACTAAATCATATATTTCGAATAATCGTTCACCTAAAATCTCAATCGCCGCAATACCCCGCGCTTTCCTCTCCTGGATATCTCGAATGGCTGGACATTCTTCAATCGCCTGGGTATTGAATCGTACCCAAGCAATTTTAGCAATCGGCCAGCAATTCTTCCACAGGAAGAGCCATCCGTGCAGACGCAGAATAGCCGGAAGGCGAAAGCGTTGGGGACAAATAGTGATGACGCGTTCGTCCCAGTATTGGGATTCGTCTCTGAATTCGGAGGCGTACATAGCTTGGAGGAGGGGTTCCTTGACTTCCATTCGATCCGATGAAAGACATTCTCTTTGGGGTTTGTAGTGGGTGATCTCGAGAAGCGAAATGACGGATTGGATAACTTGATGCGGTGTGAAGAATGGAAGAGAGACTGCGCTTGCTCCCTCCAAAGATATCCCTTTGTCATCGCCGTCGCTAATGACGTGGGCGTATTCTGCAGACCAAGCGAGGTCTTCATCGTCTTGATTAAATATCGCCGGATGAAGCAATGCTGAGAGGTAGTAAAAGCGAGATGGATGCGCTTGGAGGAGTGCTTTGAGGTCTTCACATGTGATCCCTGTGTTGAAGAGGGCGATTCGCCGAAGATTTGGAAGATAGGTAAGGAGCTCTGTTAAAGTCTGCGTCGTAACATTTGGATTGTTGGATATATCAAGGGAAGTGATCGTTGGATGAGCTGTAAAAATATTGAATAATTGTCGGGATGGTAATGCAAATGTGGAAAAATCAATTGTCGTCTGAGGATTCCTCTTCAACTCGACTTGTACGATTTTTGAGAATAATGGATAGGCCTTTTCTTGAAGTGAGGTGTCTTCGCCGATTATTTTCTTCATGATGGCTATATTTCGAGGTGACATGAGATGTTCTAGAAAGTCCACGTGCATACTGTCGATGGCGCTAATTAGGACTGGCTTCAGAGATAGTTCTAGGAGTGATGGCTCGTTGATATTGATATTTTGTCCGTTCGACTCGACTTCACGGCCAGAGTCTAATGCTTCATATTCATGTGGCCATGCTTCTGCCAGCATCCCATAGGTCACGAGCGGTTCTTTTGATAAGAGTTTGATGCTCTCCTCAACGCGTTGATTAAATTGAGTACTCTCCTGTCCTGAATCTGAACAGCGTCGAACATAGTCACTCGCAGATAATGTTATACCGGATATATTACTGTGGGTGTTCATGAAGCAATAACGAGGATGTTCGATATCTGTCACGTCGAGCACAGTGATCCCGTCATTATCTGAGGAACACCAGTAAACCTGTGCTCCATATAAATAAAGATCGACCTACGGCCTTGAGTACTATCTCGATTAGCGGATAGCAAACTCTTCTTGTATGAATAATCTTGTTTGGGATCGTTGAAAGCTGTATAGAACGCAGATTGCAATAGGAATAGTCCGTAAGGTGCTGGTATGTCCGTTATAGAAGGTTCATGGCCGAATTCGCCATTCAATGAACGTATTTCTTCGCGTAAAATGAACGCATTTTGCGGCTGTTTGACCAATTTGAGGAAACGAGACGCTGTCTCCAGTGGGAGTGTTCCGTGGCAGCATTGATGCTGCAGAGCGGCGATACATCGATATTTGGCATGAGCGCCGCCATGAGGTATAACACGAGCGATAAGAAAGGCTTGGTGCCTTTGGCCCATATTCTTCTTCTGTGAACCGAATAGTGCGCGAATTTACTTTCAGTGAGGAGGATTGTGAGAACTGAGTATGGGATGGCGGTGCTAGCGAAGTTTGAGCGGAAACAATGGGGAAGATGGCGCCTTTGATCTTCATGCCGAGCTCGAGCCGTCCGATAACACATCGGGTTAGTAGGTAAAATTAGATGATCGAAATTATTATTATTTGACGTTCGATAGGGTAAGCCCAGCTGATATCTCTAGTTATATAACGAGAGATATTTAGCACCTTGGTATAGCTTAGTACTAAATATAATTTAATTATACCCGGGACACCTACCATTTGCCTGCTCCATTCGAGGTTTTCGCTAGTTTTCATGAGGCTATGCTAGCGACTTCCAGGGCTGAAATTTCCTTTTTTGGAATCCAGTTGACGGCATTCCTATAATAATATTGTAGGTTTCTAACGGGCTCGAGTACGACTCATAAATCATCCGATATTTGAATTCAGCATATGAAGGGGAAAAAAACGACGCATACCGCTGCCGCAGATCTTCTCATACATCAGGCATCAGGTAGCAGGATGTATCTGGAATGAGAACTCTCGGCTAATGATTCACAGTCAATGAACGAGAGCGATCCTCTTAGCATAGAACGTAAGCCTCACTGAATTCGATGAGGATAGCTCAGGATCCATCCATAAATTATTTGAATGTGTAGGAAAGCAAGCTAGACAGCATGAAGAATAAGAAGCCTAAAATAAGGTACTAAAAGGATCAAGCCAAATTTTTATCCATAAGCAGATAAGTTAGATCATACCTTTTCAGAACTCCATGTACCTTCTGGACAGATAGAACAATACGCCTGTTCGAAGGGTAACAGTTAGCTACTATGGAAGCGCAGAGTTGCTGTAAAGGGAAACATCATATTTTGGAGCTAACACATATTGCCTTGTCAAAATATACTACCAAAAATATCTCTAGAGACTCACAGAGATTTTGAGATTTCCGGGCAAGGAAGTTGTGAGGATAGAATTTGTAGATGATAATTAGGGAATATCATCTACGGGCTTCGATGGAGAATGAAGCCGAAGAAGAGGATTCCAAAATATTAAAGCTACGGACATTTTGAAGATCCAAATGTCACAGTCAAAGGGAAAGTCATCGGCTCATGATTGGTCAAGTGCTGGAGAGAATCTGGTATGTAGACACTGCCGGATGAGTTTCATTAATTTATAAGGTCAAAGTATAAAGAAACATGCCCTCAATTACAATTCATCGGAATGACCTAATATCCGGACTGATATTTTACCAGACTGCATAAACGATTCGAAAGATTCCAAACTGTCACGATTTCCACTTCCATTGGTTCCCACGGATAATGTCGCAAAAATCTTAGGTGCTTGATGAACCCGACATTCGTTTCAAAGATCTTATCAGGCCTTATCGAAACCTGACGAGGCCAGTGATCGTCTCTTTGATTTTCTGATAGGATTCAATAGGCGTTTCGGACCTTTGCGATAAATGCAATACTAACCGATACGTTGTTTGTGTGAAGAGTGTAATGACACGCGAAATGGAACAATAAAACGTTGTAAGTACTCCTGCAAAAGAATAGCCTCAAATCGTTCTATTACTTTGCTAAGGAAACCACAATGATTGTCGGGAATTCTTGTAACAAGACCATCTCATAGGATAGCATCCTATGAATAGTTGTGATTACGATTAAATGTGAAGATTTTGCATAGTAATTTCAACAGCACACAAAATAATTATTCCATATAAATCACTTTTCTCAACCAGTTTTCCTAGAATTTCGTCATGAGAACAATATCCATGTAGCATTTTGGAACTAGCTAGATAGGAGGTAATCATGCGAAAGATAGGATGGAACGGTTGTCAATTCGGAGGAAACTCAATAATTACATTATTTTGACGGATGTTGCCTTCACATTCCTAAAAGATTTTAAAAATGAGAGAATCGAAGTGAAGGATCTACGGGTCACCAAGACGATGAAGATTCATACCATAAATCCAGAATCGATTGAAGGGATCGATTTGTGTCATACATGGTTTCAAGTTGTTGGATGTTCAGGCTCCTAGTGAGCTAATGCTTCAAATCGTAATGAAAGGGCAGCCGACTAGTAGATCAAATCTGACTGTCAGATGTCACAGCTAATACGACCACCGTAAAACGCACAATGACATAAGCTGGGCGCTTGCGAATAATTTGCCTCCGTGCTCTAGTAGACTGTGTTGTCGACATGCGGACATCATGCTGATATAAATGTGTAATTACCGTGTAGCATACATTGCCTTTCGATTACAAAGACAAAAAACAGCCTGGATCATCCCTAAATACATGAGTCATTCCGGTAGTGCCATCCTAATGTATGAAAATAAAAGTATTGTAAGAGGTGTCGTGGTGTAATGGCTTCTCGTTTCAGGCAAGTAAGGGTTTATTGTTCTTGATTGGAAGTTCGAATCCGCTTGGTGTCATTTTTTTCATTCCATTTTGCCAAGTTCTCCCTTTGAGCTAAGAGATTTGTTTGTCCCCCCTTTTTATAATTTCTTGCTCAATTAATTAAAACCGCTCCCAGTATTTTATGCCTACTCTACTGGATATTTCAGCCTTAATACATGTCTCTCAATCATCATAATAAATATAAACCACAACAACAAATAGGTATATAAATGTACAACTTTCGAAAATATATTTACAACTGGAGTACAAACTCACTCCATGTTATCACCTTTTTCTTTGCACTTTGTGTGAGCTTTCAGAAACAGTTAAACACCTTGTTACACGGTGAAT